GAAGAGATGTAAAGACAGGTTGATATCATAGCTAGACCTGATATTGGCTCCCAGCCTGTCATAGTAATAGGACATGTCCATAGGTAACCACCAGCATGCCAGAGACAACGGCAATGCCATTGGAGAGGGGCAGGTTGCAGGCATAGGTAGGACAGGTGGGGAGAGGTAGCTTCCATTATGTGGAACCATGAAAGGTTCACTGGAAAAAAGATGGTATTGCAACCAAGCCTTTAAAAGCTAGATCAGTCTTGGTCATTGGAGATTGGTAGAGTAAGTGCCCCAGTATAGGAATAGCACAAACAATGTTTCAGAACAGAAGATATAGAGAAAAGTTTAGCACACAAGGTACTTGTGGAGTTTATGCAACCTAGTTGGAGAAGTACAGATTGGGTTGTATTGTGGAGGGTTTTTGACTCTTAAGATGAATTTCTATTTTACTTAGTAAGGAGTTGATGCAGGTTTTTGACCAGATGCATGCTTTAAGATGATTCATCTGACAGCATCCATGACGTTGGGGAAACAATTTTTGTGCTGTGGTAGGTAGGGGCCATGGTCAAAATCCAGTAAGGTTAATAGTGACAAAGTGGTGAGTAAATGTTGCTAGACAGCTGCTTCTAGTTGGAAGGAGGTAGATATTGGTGCCTTGAGGAAACTGAAGGGCACAGAGGAAGAGTGTGAGTGACAAAGGAACAGAAATTCTTTCTATGCTGTTATTTCCTGGGGTTCTTGCCCAGGTCTTAAGGAATTATAGAATGGTTTTAGTTATTTTTCATGTATTCTTTCCCAGACCAGTGGCTTTGAGTAAAACAGACAATCTTGGAAGTTTTCTGTCACTTTAAAAAGCTTTCCTAAGCCCTTAAGTCACATACCTTCGGACATTTTGGTTACATAATTGTTGTTCTGAATTGGAATTCTGCAGCCTCATGAACTGGTCTCATTCTTTCCCTCCCCCACCTGGCACTTTATTTTCTGTGGGTCAGAGTTAGCTTCTTTCTAACCATTGTTGCGGAACTCTTTAAATATTTGGTCTCACAGGTTCTAAAAGCTGGCATGCCAGGCTGCTCCTTGCAGGTTGTGAGACCAAAGCCTTCCAGAAAAGAAGCCAGTAAAATCCCAAGCATGTTAACAGAGTGTAACAGCTGCATAGTGTACCGCCCCCATGGCCCCAACCCCGCCCCATTGGGGCTGGGCTCCCAAGTGCTGAGGCCAGCAGCTCCTAGCCTCTGTGGCTTGCAAGCAGGAGGCGCCCTCATGCACCACATCGTTGCTGATTCGTAATTGCGGTGATGACAACAGATTAAATCACTGGCTCTCAGCACTGAGGACTGGGGTTTGTCAGGGTCACTCACTGTTCCCTTGCTTCTCCCAATTTTCCATAACGAGAGAGCGAGTGTGGAGTCCACTGCTACAGTACAAATACTTGCTGGAAGCCCTCTGAGTTTTTACTCTCTTGAGAAGTTTGTTCTCTTAGTAGTCTCTACTGCATATTTCTTGCTTCTAGCATCCCTTCAATGCATGATTCTGAAATGTAATTCTACAATATACATATGTATTTATTTATACCATTTTCCCCCCAAAACAACTTAAGGCAGCTTGCACACATACATATAATATGATGAATTTTTTAAAAATTAGGAAATGGTGCAAAAGGAACATATGAGTAGGGAAACTAGGCACAGCTAGGATAAAAGTTAGTTCACAAAGTTCAAACCATAAGTAAAATCTTCTAGAGGCAATTTAGAATGGTATTCTGAGTTTCTTAGTGGCCAAAGCAAAGAGGGAAACTTAATCAAGGAAAAAATTCATGTGTCTGTAGATACAGTCAGCTCAAGAGAAGTGTGTTTCCTTGTGCTGCATAAACTCGCCCCATAAGTGCTCATAAAAGGGCACCTAATGATCAAATGGGCCCTTGCTCTTATTAGCTTCCCTGTAGTGAATAGCATAGTCATTCAGCTGACTTTTTGCAGTGTCCCTTGGGGTAGGCTTGGTGGCAAAGTCCCAAGTAGGACAAGGGCTTCGGTATATCCCATCAGTTTTTCAAAGGTGCTTCCCTGAGGAGCCTTGCTTTTAGGAGATGCTCTACTACAAAAAAAGTGCCAGGAGCAAATGAGTCTGGCAAGAACTGTTGATAACAGCATATTAAAGACTCCTAGAAGTCTTATACTTAAGAAATCAGTCCAGCATTTCCCAAGCTGATTTAATCACAAGACCTTTTTAAAAAAATTAAAATACTTATTTGGCACATTATGAAACATTGTTCTAAAACAAGGGTCAGCAAACTTTCTGTTTTGAGCCACATTGTAAATATTTTAACCACAGTGAAAATAAACAACTATCTCTGTCATAAGTCAACTCTGCCATTGTATCAGAAAAGCATGGCTACGTCCGATAAAGCTTTATTTGTGGATACTGAAATTTCAGTTTCATATAATTTTTATGTGTCATAAAATAGTATTCTTCTTTAGATTTTTTTTAACCATTTAAAAATGCAAAACCTATTCTTAGCTCACAGGCCATTTAAAAACAGGTGGCAGGCCTGATTTGGCCTGTGAATTGTAGTTTGCCAACCCCTGAACAAGGATAATGTTTGGATGGTGTATCTTTCTAGCAAGCAAGCCTTCCTGAATATTCTTCCTCAGGGTTCGTTTTAATTAGACTTTTGTGTTTCTGGTAAGAGCAGATTCTTTTTTTTTTTTTTTAGAGGTAGTAGAGAATTGGTTTGAGCTCTTACAAGCTAGTCTAAGATTTTCCTCAGAAAACAATTGTGGGTCCTCTCAAAGAAGATATTTACACACTAACTAGAAGCCTTACTCTGTCACATATGGCTGGATCAACTTTAGGCTAGAAATGTCTTAGTGGACATTATCATTCATTCATTGTATCTAGTATTTGTAGAAGTGAAAGTCTCAAAACACCCAGAGACATTTAATTGTAAGAAAATGTAACTTTTTAGTGAACCCTTCAACTAAATCGTGGCTCCCTCTCCTTGACTAAGCTAACAGAGTTCTTTTTTTAATTTTGACTGTTCTTTTTTATTTTTATTTCTTTCAAATTCTTATGGTGTCATTATGATGAAAGAAGAAGAACCAAAACATTCCCACTTAAATGTCTGACATTTCAGTTTCAGTTATACAAGTATTTTTTATTGAGTACTAAGAGTATATAAAGCATTTGGGTAGGTTTTATGGGAGACACAAAAAGGAGCAAGGAGCGAATAGTTCCTTTGTTTTACCTTGTGAACCAATATAGCCCATTGCTGTGGTGTCAGGATTAATTTCACCTCTCTGGCGCTTCCTGTTGCCATCCATCCATACATTCAACAAATACTTCTGAGTTGCAGCCTCCATTCAAGGCCCTGGGAACACAACCCTCGGAGTATGTTTTCCAGGGCACATTAATATTTCTCTTCTCTGGTACTCTTTCTTGCAACCTCTTTTGTATGGTGAAACAGAAATTATTTCTGTGCATACTGAAACTTCAGCCTTTGTGTTCCCCCTACTTTGTGTGACTCTCCTTGAAATATTTAATGGGAGAGAGCAGATCTCCTGATTAGCTACCCTTTCTGGGATTGCACTTTAAATGTTCTTGTTCCCCATCTGAGTGACTCCATGTTTCCCTGCCTTTTCTTAGTGTACTAGTGGGAACATAGTTTTACCAGATCTATAATTTTTTTTTTTTTTTTGAGTTGGAGTCTCACTCTGTTGCCCAGACTGGAGTGCAGTGGCACGCTTTCTGCCACCGCAGCCTCAACCTGTTGGGTCAGGCAATCCTTCTGCCTCAGCCTTCCAAGTAACTGGAACTACAGGCGCACGCTACCATGCCCGGCTAATTTTTGATTTATTGTAGAGACGAGGGCTCGCCAAGTTGCCTGGGCGGGTCTCAAACCCACGGGCTCAGGCAATCCACTCGCCTCAGCCTCCCAAAGTGCTGGGATTACAGGTTGAGCCACCAAATCCGGCCCAGATATATAATTTTAAAGCCATTGGCTATATTAAGCAAAAGGTGTTTAAACAAATGTTACAAAATAGCCAAATAAGCAGTATTACATATCTGATAGGCAATGTTTTTTTGATTGAGGAAGAAACTCTATAGTGTTAATTTTTTCATTTACAAAAGAAATAATTTTAGTGAAAATTTTAAAAATATGAAAAAGTGTACAGTAAAGAGAAAAAAGTTCATAAATCTAGTACCTGTTGATCAATTCTGTGAACATTTTACATATATTTTTTGCTTTTCTTGATTAAAAAATCACACTCAAAAATTTTATTTTAAAATTAACAAAGAGTAAAATTGACCTTTATCTGGTGTACGTCTCTCTGAATTTTAAAACATGCATGAATTTGTGTAACTACCACCATAATCAAGATCAGAAAAGTTCTGTCCCTACTGTACAAGCACCACTTCCCCAGCCCCTGGCAACTACTGATCTGCTTCCTATCTTGTCTCTGTTTTGTCTTTTTGAGAATATCATATAAATGGAATCATACAGTATATAACTTTTTGAGCATAATACCTTTGAAATTCAGCTAGACTGTTGCATATATTAATAATTTGTTACTTTTTGTTGCTAAGTAATGTTCCATCCTGGGGATGAACCACAGTTTGGTTATCCATTTGCCATTTAAGATTACTTTTTTTTCCCTCATTTGACATTTTTGAAATCCTAAGGTACATTAAAATCAGTATATACATTTAATGTGGTAGGGTTTTTATTTCCAAAAAAAACTATTGTTGAATTGATGGTCCATCTTATAATTAATACTATGTTAGGACTGAGATATTGTGGTGGTGAGATGATCAGAGGGATCAGAGAGGAGGGAGTTATTAGGATTGAGGAAAGTAGATCGTCAAGGATTGGATAAAGAAAGGTCCTAAGAGCTTGTAGGCCAGCACAGCAGTTAGGCAGCCTCTGTGGGCTTGGGAGAAGTTTTGAGCAGCGGAATAGCACCAGGAAAGAAGTCTTAAAGAACATAGCCTGTCTCACTGTGGTCAGTACCAGGATGGCCACCATCATCAGTGTTGAAGAATCAGGAGACAGGGAGATTGTGGCAGTGTACTGAATGGAATGGAGGGAGAACTTGGGGAGCAGTGAGTGCTGACTAGAGAACATGGTGTAGGGATGTAAGAGTCATTGCTACAGAGCATCCCAATCTCCAGGCTAGCACCTGGGTAGGAAAGGCAGGAATATGGAGAAGCAAGGACAACTGTTGCCAGAATCTTTAGGTGTTTACGTGTTGAGACTGGGTGAGTGGAGTGGGTCATGCATTATGGGAACCTATAAAAAAAAAATAAGAATGTCTGAGAGCAACACAGATTAAACATGAGATGTATATAGGGATACTGTATGAAGATAGATGGGCAGAGGGTGTACTTGATAGTATAAGTTTGGGTAAATTACACAATTATTCCATGGAAATAAACTGCAGTTTGGGCTGTTTACAAGTAGACTTAAATTAGGGTTAATTATATGGCCTGAAGTTCTTTGCAAACTTATTCCTGTGTATCACAAGTCAGGTGACTTATTCTTTGGCATACTCTCAAGATAGAAGAAAGAGAAGTAAATCATCTTTGTATAGATCCTTGAAGCAGGGTAGGGGTATAGTTCAGGGGTGGAACATTTTTAACTGTAGATTCTTGAAGGTCAGATTCCCACCAGCCACTGGAGAAGAGGGAGGCAAAAGTAAGAACTGATTATTGAAGAGTAATTTACCAAAGGAACTTGACCCTTTTGTCACTTAACTCCTTTTGGGAAGCCCCATTCATGGAAGCAGCCTCCCCTTCTACCTGCTAACACCTATTCTTGCTTGGAGTCAGGGAGACATAGGTGCCTGTACACAGAGAGGAAGAGAAAGACATCCATTTGTCGCTCCCAGTTTCATAGTTTACTAAAGATCCTGTTCTCACGGATTTGCAGAAGTTACTCTACACCTTCCATAGCAGAGCAACATATGCAAAATTAACTATTCTTTATGGTTGTACTATGATGGGGTAAAGTTTGTATTGTTTGTGGTATTGCTAATTATATTTTCAATCTTTCCTAGAAAAGACTGTATCTTCACCATTGACCCATCAACTGCCCGAGACCTTGATGATGCCCTCTCCTGCAAGCCACTTGCTGATGGTAGGATAGAAATTTCTTTGTCATTCTGGGTGGCAGGTAGTCTGCATACTGTGTGCTTTGCCTAGCTGCCTTGTACTTCCTAGGCAGCGTAGTGTGGCTTCATGCCTAAACTTGCCATAGGCCCCTGAGCCTACACAACTATGTTGACCATAAGATTGTATTCCTGTGGTGACTTTGGTGAGAGTGAGAATGAGAATGCCCACTCACCTGAAATCTGTGTGTAACTTAGAAGAAGTAGCAATGAGGCACATGTCCTGTCCATTCACTCGACATATGGTGGTTTTATGCCTAGGGTTTGAGTGTGCCAGTGGAGATTTCATATAGGAAATGACTAAAGATAGAGCAAGAAAGATAGATTGGGGACAAATTTTCAGACCAAATAATGTTCTTTACTTGTTAAACAATGGAAAGCCAAGTAGATGTTGTTCAGCAAGAGAGCTTTCAAAATGACATAAATAATTTAGCAGTGTAAGATGAAGGAAAAAGAAAGAAAGTAGAAGCAGGGAAATGAGTCAGAGAAACGCTGCAGTAGTTTAGGGACAAGGACTTGGACTAGAGATGGTGGCAACATTAGTGTGGGTGTGGAGTGAGAAGGACAGATGTGAGAAAGGGATAGTGACAGAAGAATCTGTGGAAATGGATATTAGGGTTGAGGAAGAGGAGTTCAAGATGGTGTCAGGGTTTCAATGATGGGGTGATGGAACCTACAAGTTAGAAGTCAGGAGAATGAGTATGTCAGCCTGGAGTTGTCTGTCTGATGACATTATTCAAATTGAAGTAAGTTGTTGCAAATCCTGTTTAGAGAAGTTAGGGTAACAATAAGTGAAATAAATGTAACCTCTATAACTGTATACAAGGAGAGCCCTTAAGAAGAGTAAGCAATGCATCAAGATGCAAACAGGGAGATGATGGGATCATAAGTGATTTCTCTCTAGTTTTCAAATTTTTATAATGTGGTAATGATATTTTTATAATGAAGATAATTTGTAATAAAAAATATTATGAGGTGCCAGAAATCATAGACTGCCCAGTAGCCTACTGTACCAAGTGATCAGATACCTTCCATCTGTTAACCCAGAGGAGCAGCTTGGCAAAGTAGCAGAAAAGGACATGGAAAAGGAGTCAGGGAAGACTGAAAGGCCTGAGTTGGTCAGTCAAGCGTTTTTATGGTGGCACTTCTACAGTTGGCCTTTGTGATGGTGGTTTCTGCCAGGGCCATTTATTCAGGGAGATGAAAAGGGAAAGTCAGTTCCAGTTTGGATTGGGTGAGGTTGGCTAAGTTCAGGTTCAGTTAGTTAGCAGTTCATGTTGATTCTTACTTAGAGGAAAAAATGTTTAATGTTTCAAAAGCAAATAATGTTTTCTGGGCGTACATATCATACTATATCTGTATCATATATCTGTAGCCATTTTTATTTAAAGAAAATATAAAAGTCAAACTTCCCTTTGTCCCTTTGAAATAATCTAAATGACTATTTTGTGAAATATAAAATACACAGACAGATATATCTAGTCCTCACTGTCTCTTTTTATAGAGTTCAGATGTATTCCCAGGACTTGTTACTAATAACTCTTATTGTGTCAGAGACTCAGATGATCAGTTCTACAAGACACAGTGACCACCTTTTCACCAGCAAATCATAATTAGGTTGAGGGCTGAGGAGGGAGTACTACTACCCTCGTTGAACCTGAGCTTTGGAAGGGATTTTACTAGTCATCTAACCTGGTAATTCTCTGCCTTTTTTAGCCTATAAACACACTTGAGGAGAACACTCACTCACATGAGCATTACCAAGCAGTGTGCAGTTTTCACCTGCACTCGAGAAAATATTTAATAATACAATAATTCCAGAGGATAACCCGGAATCTAAAGACAGTAAATCACACACTTCAGTGTTTTATTATTGTAACAGATCACTTGCAATACACCTCACAGTTGACCTCACCATTCAACTGTGGGAATGCCACAGTTGTCAGATCATCCTCTGTTTTTTGAATTACCTCTACAGCATCCACTTATTGAATGTCCAGATTGTACTTGAACTTTCTGCCTTAAAGGCAAGCCATTCTGCCTTAAAATTGCTTGATTATTAGGAAATCCTTCCCGGTGATGATGTGAAATACTGCTGTCTTCCTGTAATTTTCCACTCATTAGTCTCATTTATACCCCTTCTGGATGTTGCCAAACAAATCTAGTGTCTCATATGACAATCTCTCAGATACTAGATAACAGTTATCATGTATCCTCTGAGGTATAACTTCTCAGCTATGCATCCTAAATATTCTTCTGTGTCCCATGGCTTATGAGGTGTGAGTGCATTTCCCGTGTCATGGAGTCACTTCTGCCTTTATGAAGTCTGAAGTACATGGTTTCCTCTATTAAGACTTTGCCTTCCTGGCTGTCAGGGCCTGATAGTTTTTACCTAGCCAGTTTCTCCTTATTGGGCAGAATCGGGTCCAGAGTAATGACTACCCATTCTATTCAATTAAACAAGCATTATTCTTTCCCTTAGTCTCTGAGAGAGGAAATTGTCAACCAGATAAGTTAGGACCTTTATTCATCTTTTAGTTGATTCAGGCTCCCAACAGAGCCTACAGAAAATTGGAATTCACTTCTCCAGCATCTTGCTTCTCTTAAGTTTCATCCTCTAATGTGTGCTCTGCCATCGAACATGGCAGGATGATCCTAGCCAGGCCATAGAAATGATTGAATAGGAATGGGGAATGACGGCTAATGGGTTTCTTTTTGGGTGATAAAAATTTTTCTTGAATTAGATAGTTGATAGTTGTACAACTTTGTAAATATACCAGAAACTACTGGGGGGAAATGAGCGAATGAATAAATGAATGAGAAGAAATAAACAAACAAATCCATTTATCCTTGAGGCTTTCTAGAAATTAGAATTTATGCCATAACCACAATTTAGTAGATGTCTTGATGGAATGTCTGGGCTGGATACTCATAGTCACATCCCTCATGCCTGTCTTCCTCTTTACTGCTTTCATCTCTGAACCATGAAATCACAGCCCAAGGTACACAGCCTTCTGCTCCACCACCTGTTCACATTTTCCATCCCCACAGAGTACAACCATCTGACTCAATGAAGGAAGGGTTTTCTCACTGTCTGCATATAAGAAAATGCTTGGGTAAATGACATAATCTTACCTGAGGGACCTCAGGAGTGCACATTACCTACTCTGCTCAAGGAGGCACCAGTCTTCATGCCTGGTTTACCTCTGTGGCCTGCCTGGTTGCATGACTTTCTCTTCCATAAGGAAGATGGACCAGGCAGGCCACAGAGGTAAACCAGGCATGAAGACTTGGTCTCTGGGAGCTCATAGTAGTAAGGCAGTAGGAACAAGTGTCTAGGAGCAAAGCCTATGAGGATTTCATAGAATTGCTAAGCTCTGTGACTTCCTGGTTATGTTTGTTGTCTGTTGAGAGTTTCTTGTCATGAGTGATCACCTTTGGAGGAAGTGTGTGTATAGAAGCTGGAGAGACTGTGTTGTGTCTCCCTATGTGCCAAGCTTAGGCTAGAAAACCTGAAGGATAGAATGAAGTGGTAGTAGTTTTAAAGAGCAAAAGGCTGAGACGGAGTCTCTGGACCTGCTACTGGAAAGGAAAGGGGAACATGAGAGTCCTGGAGCTTCTGAATATAAAGGTTCATGCATATCCCCAGCAGCCAGGCCAGACCTTCTTCCCAGGTTCTGTTCTCACCTCTGGGAATACCTTACCACTCTGTCATTTACCCCAGCTTCTTTACATTTCCATTTGCTCTGCTTCCTCCTCTCATTGTGCAAACTTAAGTCTCCCTCATCCTACAAAACATTCCCTCAGCCCTGCTACAGCTCAAGAACTTTCACTTTTATCCATCAGGACATCTTGCTGTTGCTACTTTCTCACTTCCCATTTATTCCTTATTACTTTTGCAGCATGGCTTCAGAAAGTTCACTGAAACAGCTTGTCTGTCTCTAACCTCAGTTCACCAAACATCTGCACAGCACTTGGCTCTTTTATCTACTCTTCTTGGAATTCTCTTGTCCTTGGACACAAAGAGTCCTACTAGCTTTTGGTTCTAAATATGGGGTTTTTTCCCCCCAGTTGGCTATTTAACTCATCTTTTGCTGCCCAGCCCTTCGAGCCTCAGTGCCCTTCATTTCATGCTTTACAACCTTGCACTTGCTATTCTCTGTGCCTGAATTGGCCTTTCCCTCACACCAAGCAAGCAATCGGTTCTGCAGCATATATCAGCTGATGTCCTCCAATTCAAATCTGATACTGTCTATACCTGGAGAAAGCATCAGATCCCACAGATTGTGGACTCAGTCCTTCAAGACTATCCTGAACTTCCGATGCCAATTGCAAACCCCAGGATTTTTACTTTTGCTTCTGACTAACCAGCTATAAAAATCAGGGACAAAAAAACTTACATATTAACTCCAAGGCAGGATAAAGAGCTGACCAGGAACCCTTTAGACAAAGTATTAGCAATCACTGCTCAGGTGTATCTGGGTTTGAATCTTGCAAAGTCTGAGTGATAGTAAGATTTTATTCAAAAATTCTCAGCCTCTGAGATGTTGGAGCAGAGACTGTAGTGATCCAAATTTGGGGGTTTGCTGGGAAGGAGAGCTGAAGAGCAGCAGGACAAGGGGTCTCCGAGCCTGTTTCTTCTCTGCCCTCTGCTTTTATAAAGGTATCACCTGCCATCTAGTCAACCCAAGTTCTTAAAAACATAATCTTGGAATCACATTTGATTATTTTTCTTCTCAGGACTGTTGTCATGGCCTTTTCAATAGTTTCCTTCCTTCCCTACCATCCACCCTCCACCTTGCTCACTAGTTATCTTTCCTACATTGTACTCACAAGGACCAAATCATGTTGCTTCTCTGTTTGAAGATCTACTTGTACCTATGGGTTACGTCTGCACTGTTTTTTTTTTTTTTTTTTTGGCAGAACTTTGTTACTAAAGCACTTTAAGATTAGTCCTCCGTCTTCTCAC